AAAATGCCGCGACGTATTAAAAGATAAAATTCAACTAGTTAAAGTACTCATCAATAATTTATTAGTTTAATTCAGGTTGAACTTATACTAATTAAATTTATTATTTTTAACATTATATCATATTTTAAGTGATAAAACAATATAAATGAATAAATTATATGTTTTATGAGATTAAAAAAATAATTGATAGATTCAAAATATGCAAAAAAAAATAATGAAAATTTTCGAGATGCCTATTAGTTAATGTACAAATTAGCTTACTTCTTCTTTCCTCGTGAGGACTTTTCTATGGCTGTATAAGACATTGACAGATGATAAATCCGTCATATAATGTGCCTTTCGAATTCAAGTCAATCTCATAAATTAATTTATGTGATAACGTTACTTCTTCTTTATATATATAATTTTAATCATATCAATAGTTAATTTCTTTTATCATATATACCACATATTAATATAAGATAACTATCAAACACTTCAGAAAATTTGGTTAAAAGTGACAACGACGAATAGAACCATATGTCTTTTTGTAAGTCAATTATATACAGAGAATTTAAGTCAATTCTTCCTTACTTTTTTAAGGAATAAAAACACATTAGTTGCGTACACAATTTTACACTTATATTTATATATAATTGATTTGACTAATTTTGAAATGCTATATGATGCAAAACTTTGATATTAAATCGTTTACAGTGCTGCAATAAAAAGATACTTATAATACTTTTTTTTTTTTTTTTACTTTTGTTTCATACATGATACTTTTGGAATTAAAGATTATGTAACTATTACTTTTGTTATTCTTATAAATTTTCTAAAATAGTTCCTGTTACCATGTACATAACATCTAAACAAGTTCATTTTCTATTATTTTTTTTCTTCTCAAAATTTCAGTTCACTATGTGCATGTAATTTTTTATTTTTTATTTTCACATAGACTCTATAACATGTCTATATATGTTTTTTCTTTTTTTTAGGAAAAGGAGAATTTGTGACTTGCTCTCCTGAAAAAAACTCAGAAGTATTTTATGCTGTTCTCGGAGGATTAGGTCAATTTGGAGTGATAACAAGAGCCAAAATACCTCTAGGACCTGCACCCACAAAGGCAAGTATTATTTTCCCTCTTTTAATACAATTTTTCTTTTTGTGCACAAAACTATAGCAATATGTTGTGGAATATTAAGAAAAAAAATCATGTTCACACCATTATTGTTCTCTAGTGACAATCACTAATTTAAAACCTTTTATTTTAATGTACAAAAAAATAAATTCTATTAAAATAGGCAGTTGATAATTAGTTATAATAATTAATTAATTTATGATCATCCATCCCTAAGCTATAAAAAATTTTAATCCTATATTTCGACAATATACTATGAAAAACAATTTAATGGATTAACATTGTTTTACGAAGATGCACTTAACTAAATAAATTCAAGGTTATTCATTAATTTACTTAATTTTTAACAAGGTTGTTTAATTTGCTTGCAGGCACGTAGGGTCCACTTGCTTTACAGTGATTTCGCTACATTTACTAGAGACCAAGAGTATATAATCTCGTTCAATGAAAGGAATGACTCTAGTGAAGCAGATTTCTTAGAAGGTCGTCTTCTATTAACACAATTGGCACTGGAACTTTCCTTCTACCCTACTGCTGATAAACCAAGGATAACATCCCTTGTGACTAAACATGGCATCATCTACGTTTTAGAGCTTGTCAAATATTTTGACAAAAAATCTGAAGCACGCGTGAAGCAGGTAGGTTGGAACAAATGATCTTTTTATAATATGTTATGTTATTAGAGAAATCTAGAAAGGGCAATGTGTCCTTATAGATAAGGATCAAATCGACCCATATGAATTTAAAATAATTTTGTTTTCGTGAATCCAAAGCCAAACTCATTCAAATCATTAATTAGAAACGTGTATTTTAAGATTAATTTAGTCATGAATTATTGTTATTATTAAATTCACCATCTTGTTGTTTCCTGTGTAGGAAGTTGAAGATTTGATTAAAAAATTACATTTTATACCTACATTTAAGTTCGAACAAGATGAAGGATACGTGGAGTTTCTGCAAAGAGTTCACACGGCAGAGACATTTATTGATCCACTTGGACTTTGGAATGTTCCTCATCCGTGGTTGAACGTCTTTGTTCCAAAATCTCGAATCATAGAATTTAATGAAGGTGTATTCAAGGGAATTGTTGTTCAGCAAAATGTTACGTCAAAATCTGGACTTTATTTAGTCTACCCAATGAACCGAAAGAAGTAAGTTCATCATATTGTTTCAATATTAAAAATTGTCAATTTATGATCTAAATCTTACCTGCACATAGAGATGATAAAAAAAAAATTGTATCCGTGAATATATGCAAATAAAATTTATTATAGATTTTACATAAATAATTAAATGGACATTTGCTTAATAACAAATGAGTAAACCTAAATCCTTAAAGATAATATTATAGTTTATCTATATTGAAATGGGAATAGGTGTGTGTGTATGACTTTGTACATATGTGAGGATTAAATTGAATCAAATGCATTTTAATTTGCAGGTGGGATGATAGGACGTCAGCAGTTACACCAGATGAGGATATTTTCTACTCTGTAAATTTTTTTAATTTTGCAACTAGTGGGTATGAACATGCCAAGAGATTCGAAGTTCAAAATCAATTGGTATTGAAGTTTTGTAAGGATGCTGGTATTAAGATCAAAGAATATCTTACCGGTAACAAAACACATGAAGAATGGGTGGAACATTTTGGTTCTAAATGGAAACTTATTGAAGATAGGAAAGCTGAATTTGACCCAAACAATATATTGTCACCTGGACAAGGGATTTTCCAATAAACAATGTGCTAGATTTTAATTTTAAGTTTCTAATAAATCCTCGTTGGAGTTAGTGGTCTTCTCAGTCCTTGTAACTTGTAAACGGGCATGCCTGCCGAATGTTTTATTTTATGTTTTTAATTTGCTGAGTGTGATTAGAAAAATGCTCAACGCTTTGGAAATGATTTGATGAATAAGTGAAATCTCTTTCATGAAAATGTGAGAAATAAAAAGTAACATGATTGTCAATTTCTTATTATCTTATAGTTTTATATACGAAAAAATCTATCTAAATCTTTATTTTGAATAAATTTATTGTTTTTAATTGTTTATTTTCCACTTCGTTATTAAATTCTAATATCCAAAATTATTCTCATGACTCTAATCAGTGCTTGGTCAAAGAGGAAAAAAAGGAGAAGAATACGGTGTATGATCTTTTGATAGTACTTTCTTAAATTCTTGTTGTGCATTAGGGGTTACCACACACATACACATATGTCTCCATATTGGTGAGATATTTGTCCGCTTTGAGCCCAAGCCCTCATGATTTTGCTTTTAGACACCACCCAAAAGGTCTCTCAACTAATGGAAATAAGTGTATATATAAACCCATATCCATCAACGATATGGGACTTTGCTTGCATTCCAACAATTCTCCTCCTCAAACAAAGGACCACACTTTACCCCTTCTCCTGCAGCGAAAACTACTAGTATTATCCGATGGTGGGCCTACAGAGCTCACTCACGCTCAGAGTGCTTGCACCGCCGCTCCATCATGACCTCCCTCATGACAGCAGGACACGCCTCCTAACCCTCCATGTTACCAAGAAGCCTCTTTTTCCACGTGGACCCATCGTTAGGAAGACTTTCGACGCAAGAATTCTAAACTTGGATCCACCTGCCAGCCATCATACCTGTCGAGCCGGTCACCTAATCAGACCATCGGCTCAGATACTACTGTGATAGGGAAAACAACAACAGAATAATTAAGAGTACCAAAGTACGCAACGAAAATAATTCCCCCAACTTGCAAAAATCAACAAGGAGCAACAAAACAAATAAATGACAGAAAATAATCACAAAGAGACACAAATATTTTTAACGTGGGAAAACCCTCTCAATGTGAGAAGTAAAAACCCACGGGCACAAGTCAGTCAATCAAGCTCTACTATGATAAAATTAGGGTACAAGAGAGTCTAATCAAATGCATAAACAAATGCTTACAACCAACTGATATATTAAAGCAACAAGGCTTTCCAACTGAAGAATAAAGAAGAAGAAACCTTAAATTTGAGCAACTGTACAAAATTGATTTCTATAACCGCAGACCTCCAATCCACGATCCCAATGGTCAAAACGAAGATCAAGGTTTTAAGAACCTAATGTCAAATTTCCAGCCCGATCCAACAGTAAACGAAGTGGGGATCGCAATTTTACTGAAACTGCTCTGTGTGTGGGAACCAAATTTTTGCTCTCTTTCTCTCTTCTTTCTCTCCCTGACGGCTGTGTAATTTTCTCTCTCTGTTTTTTCCTAAGAGACCCTTCTCCACTTGGTTTTTAAGTGAGACAAAATTTGGGCTTCTCAATTTTGGGCCTTATCTCCACATAGTTGTGAGGGGGAGATTTGTTGGGTATTGGGCTCCCTTCATGCAAAGTCTCACATTAATCCATCATTATTCACAAGTTTTCTGGGGATATTTGGAAACTCCTTCTCACAAGTTTTCTAGCGAAACTTGAAAATCCCTTCTCACAAGTTTTCTGGCGAAACTTGGAAACCCTTCCTCACAAGTTTTCTGGCGAAACTTGAAAACCTCTTCTCACACAATTTTTGCACAAAAAAATTGCAAATCCTCTCATGACACACAACTACCCAAGTCCCCAATACACCCAAAGACTAGTGTTGTTGTGGTGAGTAGACCCAAACTATCACCTCTTATTTATAGTAGTAGTCTATCACTTCCCTTCTTCAAAACTACCCGATGTGGGATTTTAGAGGATACCCACACACTTTGGGCACAACATATCCTCCCTTCAAACAAAGGACCACGGTTTTCCCCCCTACAGCGGAAACTACGAGTATTATCCAATGGTGGCCCCACAGAGCTCACTCACGCTTAGAGTGCTTGCACCATCGCTCCATCATGACCTCCCTCATGACAACTAGACACGCCTCCTAACCCTCCATGTTACCAGGAAGTCTCTCTTCCACATGGACCCATCATTAGGAAGACTTTCGACGCAAGGAATTCCAAACTTGGATCTATCTACCAGCCATCATACCCGTCGAGCCGGTCACCTGATCAGACCATCGGCTCTGATACCACTGTGATAGGGAAAACAATAACAGAATAATCAAGAGTACCAGAGTACGCAACGGAAATAATTCCCCCAACTTGCAAAAACTAACGAGGAGCAACAAAACAAATAAATGGTAGAAAATAATTACAAAGAGACACAAATATTTTTAACGTGGAAAAACCCTCTCAATGTGAGAAGTAAAAACCCACAGGCACAAGCCAGTCAATCAAGCTCCACTATGATCAAATTAGGGTACAAGAGAGTCTAATCAAATGCATAAACAAATGCTTACAACCAACCGATATATTAAAGCAACAAGGCTTTCCAACTGAAGAATAAAGAAGAAGAAACCTTAAATTTGAGCAACTGTACAAAATTGATTTATCTAACCACAGACCTCCAATCCACGATCCCAACGATCAAAACGAAGATCACCATGTTAAGAACCTATTGTCAAATTTCCAGCCCGATCCAACGGTAAACGAAGTGAGGATCACAATTTTACTAAAACTTCTTTGTGTGTGGGAACCAAATGTTTGCTCTCTTTCTCTCCCTGACGGCTCTTTTTTTTTCTTTCCCCAAGTGACCCCTCTCAGTGAGACAAAATTTGAGCTTCTCAATTTTGGACCTTTTCTCCACATAGGAAGGGAGCCCACTAACCAACAAATCTTATCCAACACACATACACATGTCTCCACATTGGTGAGATATTGTCCGCTTTGGACCCAAGTCCTCACGGTTTTATTTTTGGACACCACCCAAAAGGCCTCTTAACCAATGGAGACAAGTGTGTATATAAACTCATGTCCATCCTCTTGTTTAAACGATGTGAGAATTTGCTTGCTTCCCAACAATTCTTAAATAGCAGTTTGACTTTGACAGAATCAACTTCACATGAACTTTGTAGTCTCTACATCTTGAAAAAAAAAATTTAGACATATAGTTGATAAAAAAATATGAGTTAATCACCTATACACTGTTAGTGCAAAATTTTTTTACATTGACAGTTAATCAAAGCCGTTAATAGTTGTTTTTCATCTGCTCATTTAATTAAATTAAAATAAAAAAGGCACTATTAACGATTCTGATTAACTACTAGTATAAAAACCTTTACACTGACAGTGTATAAATGATTAACTCAAAAAATATTATCACAAAAATTATAGACATGATTAATATATATCATAAAAACAAAAAGAAAGATAAGATTAGGAACACCCATCAAATAAGCATAGTTATATTCTCATTTTAAAATACATAGTTGATGTCTCATCTCTAACCTTGATAAATTTGGTGAAGAGTATAAGCATAGAAAGTTGCTAATTTACTTGAAGATAGATAAATAAAATAAAATAAAATAAAAACTTAAAAATTGTAAAAGTCGTTTCCTCCCTTAAAAAATTATTGGTAGTTTTTCGCATGCAATTCTTAACACAAACGATTCAATTTCTTTGGAAATTAATTAACAACCACTTTCCTTTCACCATCCCTATTTATGGCATGGTAAAAGAAACTATCAATGTCATGATTACATTTAGTTAATTAGTTTGTAAGTTCAATTACAAAAATTCGAATTCGTTTATAACACTGTTTAGTTTGACTCAACTAATTTTAATTATATTTTAATTTATATGAACATTTGTTTATCTACATGAAATGATTAGACTAAGCTAGAGAAGGAACCAATGAGTCTTATGTTACGGAGAGAACGAGATTCACCTGACTTTGTATTGAAGTCGACTTGTCCAAAGCTTTGGTTCCTTTCTTAGAGATACAATAGGAGGTTTTTCCAGTTGAGTATGTAAGATAATGATGACGAGGTCAGGGTTGAAGGAACCCAGGGAGGGCTCAAAGATAGTTCATGAAGTTTAGTGGTTCGAGATTCCAAGTGTTGAATAGCTCTCTGACCCTGCTTCTTCCTGTGGGGTTAAAGATTTAGCCCAATAGAAAGTATCTATTGACGTGCATGAGGATTGAGGGGTCTCCAATAACCCCATAGGGATAAATATGTCTTTTACTCCTTTGAATATTGAGAAAGAGACAATGGTGCTTTTTAAGTTCCCTCCAAATAAGGGAAATAAATCTATCGGTTTGTGTACTACTAATAACGATAATGATATTATTCATGGTTGACCCAACCATAAGGAAAGAGAGGCCTTCGTTTTAGGCCTCCAAACTAATATATATATATAAGTTTTATTTTTATTTATTATCTATAATGATAATTAAAGTGTATTTTTTTTACAAATAAAGTTTTAATATTGTTGGGAAAAATATTATTTTTATTTTTTTAATACCTCTAATTTTTTGTTATTTTCTTAAATTTTATAAAGGTCTTGCATTAGAATTTTCTTTAGGTCTGATAATACAATAGGTGGCCTTGTTATTAATGATGGTTGGGCCAAGCTGTTGGATATCCATGAATTTGGGAAAAATTAAGAAGAGAAAGCAAATCATCATGTTGTGGGAAAGGAAAGGACCAGCCATCAGTATTCCAATCCAATTATCTAAAAAGGCCCAATAGGTCCTAGAGGCCCAAAAACAAAGGTCCAAACTAGGAAATCACATGGAATGGTCCTTCTAGTTCTGAAGGCACTAGTGGTTAGAATGAACCTGAAAAAGTGTGCGAGAGGGATTGGGCTCGAGGTTGGGACATATAGAGCTCAACCAAATCGCACATGTGTAGCTCAGAGGAAAGAGCGTATTTTAGAGAAGGTTTCCAAGGCTATTTTAATCCTCAATAACCACTACAAGAAAAATATAAATTTTTAACAAACATAATTCGTAGGTAAAAAAGAATATACGTCATAAATTTTCTATTTTCGATGGATTTCCAACAGGTTTGCATTTGTCGGAAATTTTCGACAGATACATCTATAAAAAATTACCGACAGATACATTCGTTGAAAATTGTTTGAAAATCTTTTTCGACGGATAAATTTGTCGAATTTTTTTTTA